TGTCCCTGCCTCCGCGCAGCCCTCTCCTACTTGGGGACCCTCGCGCTCCCCTGTCTGTGCCCCTGGCCGCTCGGTAACCACGGCTCTGCCTTGGCTTGTCCTGCCCCTTGCAGTTTGTGGGCATTACCTACGTCCTGACCATCATCTGGCTCCTGGTCTTCGCCTGCTCCGCAGTGCCTGTCTACATCTACTTTAACACTTGGACGACCTGCCAGTCCATTGCCAACCCTAGCAAGACCTCAGCCAGCATTGGCACCCTGTGTGCAGATGCCAGGATGTACGGTGAGTGCCAGGTTTGCCACCCAAGGAGCCAGGGCTCAGGGTGGAGAAGAGGGGATGGAGGAGATGGTCCAGGAGGATAAGGCTGGGATAAAGCAGCGGCAAGTGCTGAAGAGCCCTGAAATGCTGGGGTGTGCATGACACACATGGCTGTGGGAGGCTGAGAAGGTGACCAGCTGGTGGCCATGCCCGGCTCAGCTGTCTCTCCACATCTCACCAGGTGTCCTGCCCTGGAATGCTTTCCCCGGCAAAGTGTGTGGTTCCAACCTGCTCTCCATCTGCAAGACCAGCGAGGTGAGTACCTCCTGTCGCCCCACCTGCGCTCCCCTTACTGGGTGGCCTCAGCACTGGCCTCCCTAGCCAGCACACAGGACCCTGGGACCTCATCCCCCTCTTCCCTTGCAGTTCCAGATGACTTTCCACCTTTTCATTGCGGCCTTCGTGGGGGCAGCCGCCACACGGGTGTGTGCCCCCCCTGCCCAGCCATTCTCCTCCGCCCGATGAGGATGTGGGGGCAGAGGACAACAGAGGTGGTGGGCATGGACGTGACAGAGCCCGTGCTCGTGTCATTTTCTGGCACATAAGTGCAGATGGCAAATTCAGGTTGTAAGAAGGTAGAGGTGGCTGCTGGAGGGGACCTGGAGAGGCTTTAGGAAACCACTAGGGAGAGATCGTGCTGCCCATGCACCGAGTCCCCTGTCTTTCCCTGGCTCTCCTCTTGCTTTACACCAGTGATGAGACACTGCGGTGTCCTGCCAGAGCAGTGGGGCCATGGGGCTCTGTGGGGGCAACTGCCCTGTAGGGGTGCTGGGCTCGGGGATGCCACCTCGGGTGTACCCGGGTGAGGACTCCCACCCTACTTGTTTCCTTGCCCGTGGGAGCTTCGGTTCTCCTCCTCCCCCCTTGCTCACTCTCTTCCCACCCACAGCTCACCTTCATGATCGCCGCCACCTACAACTTTGCCGTCCTCAAGCTGATGGGCCGAGGCACCAAGTTCTAGCCTGTGCAGTGGAGTCCATCCAGACCAAACGCCCTTATTTTCTCTAACCCCAAGGCTTTAACACTGCAGCCACCCGACACCAGGTCTCCTGCGTTAACTCTGCCTTTGCCGCTGACTCCCCTCCTCTTCATCCCTCACATCCATCGTGCTGAGCGCGACCAGAAAGGAGAGCTTCCCACCAATGGACACCTCTTCGTGCACTTTTCTCTCTCTGCTCATCCGTAACCGGTTTGCTCTAGGGCCAAGCCCATCAAAACCAGCCAGAGAAGAGGAGGGACTTACTCCAGTGTCCTGATGTTGCCTAGGGATGAGCAAAGGCCTTCATGCTCCTGGGAGGAGGAAGTTGTGTAGGTTGCTCCATTAGTAGCAAGAGGCTACCCAGAGAGAAAAGGAAGTTGGCCCAGTCCTGGTACCATTGCTAGAGACTCTCCTGGAGCTGTCTGCTGTCACCACCCATGGATGGAGAATAAGAGAAGGATTTTTTTTTCCCTTAGCAAAGAAAGATGAATTTACCCCAAACTGCCTGCTGCAGCCAAGGCAAAGGGAGTTTAGGGCAAGGATCTTCCCATTGCGGAGAAGAGAGCGCTGACCCCAATGCTGATAAAGCCCTACCCCAGCCGCCCCTATTAAAGCCTGAAGGAGTTTGGTGTCTCTGTAGACAAGGGGACCCTCGGCTTTACACTCCATGCAGCAGAGAGGCGGCAGATAGGTTTGGTCGAGAGAGGACATCTCTGTGCCGTGCCGCGGGAGCATAAAGCCAGAGCCATCCCTCCATAGGCAGGGGACGACCCTCTGGACCGCGCGCCTTTGCCCACCCTGCCCTGCAACTGGCGCTCGCTCTCTTCCCTTCACAATGGTGCTCTTCTCTGGGGTGACGTCTGCTTCGTTAACCTCCGCTGCGCCGGAGAGCGTGATTTGTTTCTCACCTGTGTCAAACGTAACTTTCCCTCGTTCTGTCCCCCTCTTCCCCTCACTTGTTTTCCCGTGTTTCCTGCAAGTCAGGACAACTGTCTTGTACCTGCCAGGGCGGGAGGGACTGGCAGCATCTCACTTCCAGCCGCAACCCATGCAGGAGCTGAGGAGGGAAGGAAGGGCGGCAGTTTGGGGGTCACAGGGCAGAAACACAGCCCCTCTCTGCAAACCAGGCCCTTTCTGGTGCCAGTTCAGCCTTATCCCATGGAGGGGGGCAGCGGGGCGAGGGGTTTGGTGGAGGCGACCTCTCCCCGCGCAGCTGGAGGACAGCCCTCTGGCTGAGTAGCATGGGTCCAGCCAGACCCACCAAAATCCCTTTTTCAGTCCTCCCCGCCAGCTGGCATTTTGTTTTGCTCTTTCCTGCCTCTCCTTAATGCTAATCTCTGTTTATTTATTGGAGAAACTACTTTCAGTGGCAGACTGTAGCTCCATCTTGCATGGATTATTTTTTTTGTCTGTATTATTATTACATTTTTTTAAGTGCCAGTTTCAGCAGGGGCAAGGATAAAGGAGCAGATCTGCTGAGCAGAGCGTTCGAAGGATCCTTGCTGCCAGGAATGCTGAAATAAGTTGGCCAGGCTACCAACGCACATGGGCTGGGGAGGGGGGAGATGCCAGGAGGGACAGCAGGGTGGGGAGAAACCAGTCAAGATCTGGAAATTCACATTGACGCTATCTCTCTTGGGGGTTTGCTGGGGTTTTTTTGGTACCCATTTAACAAAAAATAACCAGATCCTCCTTCCCACCCTTGCCCCAGACACACACACACACACGCACACATGTGCACACACAAATGCACGCAAAAAGAGAGTTAATCAACTGAAAGTGTTTCCTTCATTTCCGATCTAGAATTTCAACTCGTTAACAAGCAATAAAAAGGAGCAAGTTTTTAGAGACTTATCTTATAAGATGTATTTTATAAAAATTAAAGAAAATAAATGAAAATTAAGAACATTCTGAACAAGATATACATCCATATGTCCATTTGTTGTGGTGGCTTTGCCACTCCCGCCCCAGCCAAAAAAAAGCAGGGAAGGGGGGACTGCAGAGGAGAAGGTCCCAGAGCAGCAGCACTCACCAGCCCCTCGTGTGGGCCAGCAGTCCCCTGCAGGACTCTGCCCACCCCTCCTTCCCACCCCAGCCACAAGGTTCATAACCCTGACTTCAAAATCTTTGTTCCCAGCTGGGGAACCCTTAAAACCTCTGTTTCTCTTCCAGACACATGGAGGAAAGCTGGGGTCTTGTAGGAGCTGCTTGCTCGTGTTTGGTGGTGTGCTGCTGCCCTTCAATACTCAGCCTACACGGTGACAGCCTCTGCCACGTCTCCTCATGTGGCACCTACAGCACGACCACCGCAAAGCTAATTGGCACGGCTTGAGCAAAGCTCGCTGGCTCGCATCAGGCAATGCAGGTGGTGCAAGCACATCCACAGCCATGCAGGATGCGCCGTTCTCTCACTTGCAGAGCGCTCTGTGTGAAATAGGACCACCCTGTGCAGGCATAAGGGCAGACTTGGCTATAGCAGGGCCCTACATGTCCTGTCTGTGCACTCTGCAAGTGGCTGCATGCCGTTCGCTGCAGGCTCGTTAACAGTTTCCACACTGCTGGCACATGGGGACGCTATCGGATGGCATTTTTCTGCTCCTGATCAAATGAACCTTCGATGTGCATTTCCACAGCAGCTACTCAAAAATCACTGACTGAAATGTCGCTTCTTTTGGAAATGTCCCCCAGGAGCTGTGTTCAGGAGCCTCCGGGGAGCGAGACCACAGAGGGATGCTCCCGGCCCCGTGCTCAAATCCTGGCACCGGTCCCGTTCGCAGCAGGTCTGCCCAAGAGGCGGACCTCGGGCACGGCTAAGGG